ACTGTGGTTTATCCCACCTTGTTGCAGGTGATGTTCTCGACCTGTTGATGATGGTGGCTAACCACCGGTGGGCTCGGTGGTTCTATACTTACTTCTCATCTATATGCTTTTGTCGGATGATGTCACTATGCTAGCAATATATTTGGAACTTATATTAATGTAATCATTTGAAAGCTATGTTGTTTTCACTAAGCGGTTTTGAAACCCCAAACTTGTACTACTAATTGTTAACTCCTTTGTAATATTATTTCCGCTGTAACCCGATGTATGTGATGTGTATTTGCTTAATCACGCGATCTTGGTTGTGATGTTGATTTACCGAGGTCTTTCGGGACACTCGGCGGACTACCGGGTTTATATGAGTGAAAGTATGGGTGTGTCAACGTGTTAGCGGGGACAACCGTACTTGATCTTGTATAAATTGGGCGGTTCTGTCACAGGTGGCGCTGCCTAGGGGCTCGGTGGCCACACACAGTGACCGACCATGCCCTGTGGCATCTCAGAGCGCGCCGCTTGCTCCATCGACACGTTGGCCTCTGCGCCACCGATTCCAGCACTCCTGCTCCTGCCTCTGAAGACTCGGCGGCTCCCGCCGTTGCTCCTGGCGTCTCCACCAAATCGCCCATTGTCATCGCCAACCACTCTCCGCCACCAACTCCATCAGCAGTGGTGGTCGGCTCCTCTATAGACCAACAAGTGCCCGGGGACTCTGGGACAGAGTATGTCCGCAATGTCTCCTCCCTAGGACCAGCCCCTGGCTGCTCGCTAGTCTGGCCTGAAGGATTCAGGTCCTCCACGCGCCCCGTTTTGCATTAGTTTAGCTCATCGGTCACCACAACTATAAAAATCAAAAAGCTACTGATCCCAAGGCAAAGATACTTACACATCAGCTTCCCGGTAGACGGTTTTGAACTGGCGCTGCCTCCCCGAGCACCCAGGCACTGCTCTGGGGTCAACCCATGTGGCCTGGGCCGGAGGTCTTGTGGCCCCCGTTGTCGGTGTTTTCTCCGCCTGCTGCTCGAGGACTCCTTTCCCTCCCTCCGGTTGCACCTCCGCGCGTGTGTTGCATGATGATGCTTTAGTGCTCGGAGGGGGAGCTACTGGATCCTCCTCATCATTCAACCACTTGGATATCGCCGCGCTCTGCATCTGAGTGGTCTGATCGCCACCAAGTGTGATGCCACCCGGCTTGTGGGGAGCTACATCCGTCGTTCTTCTCTTCTTTCGGGCCGGCTCATCATTCGTCGCCCTTTTCCCTCGAACCTTCTCTGATACCGAGGGGGGACTCTCCTTCTGACCAGCACCTCCGCCTCCAGATTTAGACGAGGCGCTGATGGCACTTTCCTCCGGTTGAGTGGTCGGCCTAGCATCCACTGCCTTTGGCCAATCGCTCCTCGGCACGCTTGAGAAGTATGTTGCCCGTTCCTACAAATGGATCTTTCCACAAGTGAATCAGTCCACTGCTCGACGTCGGCACGGGATAAAAAACACTAGGAACAACAGTCAAGTTTTTTTACCTGAGGAGGTGGGTTCGTGCAGTTGAAGGCTTTCGGCTGCCCTGACACGCTGAACAGCATGTTTGGAGCGAATAGTTCAGTGGCCTGGCATAGCACAGCCTCCTTCATCAGTCTCTCCGTCCTCCCCCGGGTGCCGTCGGTATCTCCCCCAGATGAGCCCTCTCCTTGCAGGGCTGGACACGGCGCACTATGAAGCTCACCGCCACCACCACTCCATTCAACTTCATGCCCCTTATTAGCTCGAGGAGCTCCTTCACCTGCTCCATATCGGCACTGGTCGGTTTCTCCGACCAGCTCCTCTGATTCTCCAGAATCTGGTCGACGTCGCATCGGATGGCAGGATGACTCTGCTTCATGTAGAACCACCTAGCATTCCACCCCTTTAGTGAGGTATTCAGTGGCATAGTAATATATTCGCCCGCCATCCCATCGTGGAGCTGTAGATACACACCGCTGACCACTTTGGAACCGCCCCCTCCTTTCTTCTTCAGCAAGAAAAGATGTCGGAAGAGATTGAAATGGGGAAGAATGCCAAAATAGACCTCGCAGAAGTGGATAAACACGAAAATGTGCTAAATAGTGTTCGGGTGAAGATTACACAAGCTCACTCCCTAATACTCCAACAAATCCCATAAGAAAGGATGTACCGGAAGTCCTAATCCACGCTAGAAATAATCTTCAAACACAACAAGCTCGTCGGTGTGTGGCATTGGATAGGGCTCACCGTCGGCCGGATGCCATCCGACGGTGATACGGTCAGGAAGAACGCCCGCCTCCACCATCTCGTTAAGCTCTGTCTCCCCCATGAGTGATGACACCCATTCGTTGTCATGGCTCGCCCCGGCGGCCGCCTTCTTCGGGTTACCACCTCCCCTCTTCGACGCCACCCCTCAAACCTGGATCGAAACTGGCCTTTTTTCACAAGCTTTTTAGCCCTAGCGGCGGAGCGTGTGTGAATGTGAATGGAGGAGCGCAAGGCTGAGGAGGAAGACGAAGTGGCGAAGTGGCAAAGGTGGGAGCGCGGAGTGCGATGACGCAGTTATAAAGAAACCGTACCCACTTTTTGCATTCAAGGGGTTTTGAGAAACCGCACCATATTGATTTGCGCCCTTCCGAATTCCCCAAAGCGGCGTGGTAGGCCGTTACCTGGGCTTCCGCGTAACTGCGGCCCATATCGCCCATTCTTCGACGCAACTTGGTACTACACACCGAATATTCGCCGACTTCTCCGCAATACCATCAAGGCTCAGTACTTTCTACTGTATAGCCATTACTCCGGTTTTTTCTCCACGATTTGAGTAATCGGTACTTCTTGATTTATTTGAGATTTCCACTTGTGGCTCGGGGACTACGTCATCATTATGACTCGGTTTCTCACCACACTGGGGACTTCTTCTGGTTACTATTATTTTTGACCCTGGCACCACGTGATCACGTCACCTATTATCAAGCTCGGGGACTAAGTGGGCACACTTCACCTTGCGGTGAATATGCGCTTTTCATTTTAGGGCTCAGCCCAGGGACTGGTTGCCTGCTCGGCTGGTCTTCTGCCTTTCTTCTACTTTCTAGACCCTGGCACCACGTGACTACGTCACCTACTGCCAGGCTCGGGGACTAAGTGGGCACACTTCACCTTGCGGTGAGTGTGTTTTCTTTAATCTGGAAGACTCCGTGCCTCCTGAAGTTGAAGAAGGTTATCTCCCTTTCTCGTGGTCAGACTCTAAGTGGGCACACTTGGTTCACAACGAGGAAATTTTCAATTTTGAACTTAAGCTTCTTACATCCTTCTGACAAACCTTACTTGGGATACTCTGCTCGGTGACGGTCCACAACTGCTCAACACTCATTAGAGTGGTCGGACTATGAGTCTGACTGCTCGGCTTTATTTACACCTGCTCAGACAAGCTCAAGATGGCGTTGCACAGCGGAAACAAGGCGCTCAGGGACTAGCTATGGGGGTACGACCCCGGATACCCACGACAGACTACATGGGCTACGCTGCTAGGGTCGGTCCAGCCCACAAGACGAAGACCTACGGTGCACGGCACTGCTCGGCGTGTACCGCAAGGCATCGAGAGCGATATCCTGAAGATGCTACGAGATCTGTTAGGATACGTTCGATCCCATGATTCGTGTATTCTGTTATTACTTACCGGTTATCTTCTAGATCTAACCGACTTGTAACCCTGCCCCTAGCTATATAAGGCTGGCAGGGAGCCCCCTCAAAACACACACAATTTCATACGATAGCCAATACAAACCAACGGACCACAAGAGTAGGGTATTACGTCGTGCTGACGACCTAAACCTGTCTAACTCTTGTGTCTCTGTTGCCTTCTTGTTCTTGATTACGTGCACCTCTGTCGATCAATCTACCTTCGTGGGATACCCCTCGGAGGACCGCCGATGATATTCTATCGATAGGGAGGCAGGGAGGTGACTGAGAGAGGGTACCTGCGGCGGCGGCGGCGGCGGTGGCTGCGTCCTCCCAGGGTCGCCTCCTGCTCGTTCCCCTTAGCAGGCGGGAGCGTTTTGTTTTCTGTGGGCGCGGAGACGAAGAGGTACGCGCCGGGGAGGGGAAAAGGCCGATTCAGGTGAATACGGAGCCGGAGCACTCGGAATCATGTGCGGGCTCGCGCAAGACTGGCGGGATATTTTCATGGCATTGGCGCTCGATTCCGTTCCCTAATACCAAAGCCGTCCAAACAACAGGTATTTGCTGGTACCCAATGCCAAATCCATATTCCAAGGCTAAATACCAACATCCAAACGCAACTCTAAGATATTTCGATTTGCTAGTATGAAATGGAAATCGAACAAATACACCAGAAACTTATTATTTGCTGTAGGGCTCCAGAATTAATAATGTTAAGTAAGTTTCTTTGCGAGGAAATTACTAATGACAACTAAAAATACATGATGTTTTAGCCGCAGAAACTAATCCGGTTGCCATCATTAAGGCACCGTTTGGCACGGCTCTACTTTACCCATGAAGTCCTTTTTTGGGGTTTCAACTTTATGAATAGCTCTATGGGTGAAGTTGTAGCCGTTTTGATAAATCGTTTGGCAAAACAGCTTCACATATAGTTTTTCTTAAAATATGCTCTCAGAAAACGCCACGTAGAATGAGGTGAAACCGAGAAAAGCCACTATTTTTGACTCCTTCCCACCCTAAAGCTCTATAAAAACATGTTTTTAGAGGCTTTATCGATAAAACCTGTTTTATTTTACCCCATTTGGCAGAAAACGGCCCAAACGACTTCTAAAACCGCTGAGAAGCCCTGCCAAACGGGGCTAACTAACTCGGAACCCTCTCTCAGGCTTCTTATAAATCCTCCAGCCTGTTGCCTTCTACCCTGTTCCTCTCGATTCCGAAGCTGCTCTCGCCCCCAGAAATAAAGCAGCTCCTCCGGGGGGCGGCGAACCACTTCCCATCGCCAAAACCCTAGCCCCGATCCGGTCGAGGAGCGCTGCTTCCTTGCCATGGCGGGCACCGCTAGCCAGGCGAGCCTCCTGCTCCAGAAGCAGCTCAAGGGTACGGATCCGAACGGCCTCCTGCTCTCCCTTTCCTTTTTCGCCCCGATTTGCCGCGATCGGCTCCTGATCTCTCGAACGTTCTTTGTTGCTTGTCACAGATCTTGCGAAGAACCCCGTGGATGGGTTCTCGGCGGGGCTTGTAGACGATAGCAGCGTCTTCGAGTGGCAGGTCACCATCATCGGCCCGCCTGACACCCTATAGTAAGTTCGAATTTTGCCTGCCTTATAATCACTGCACTATTGTTCTTGGGATATAGATTGCATGCTTGATGGGTGCGCATAGTCAGTTCAGGTTCAGATTGTTTGATTTGCATGGTGCATACTGTAGGAATTCCGTGCTGTGATGTCGATCTGCAACCCATATATTGATGAATTGTGGTGTCATGGAGCCGATTCTGCATTTTGATGCCGATTCTATATAATTTGTGTGTCTGCCTCCAGTCCCGATTGCTTGGTCTCTATTTGTACATCAGAATTCTGTGTTGTGATGTTGATCCACAGCCCTTATTGATGAACTATGGTGTAACCAAGCGGATTCTGTGTCTTGATGCTGATCTGTATCACTTGCGCATGGTCACACCGCTTCTGAGTTTGGTCTGTGTCTTGTACGTTTGTATCGATCTGTTGTACTACTTAGCTGTATGTTGAAGGTAGATTCAAATACCCCACCCACTTGCAGTTGTAGTTTGTTTTCTTGCAAATGTCCTACCCACCTGCATTAATAGTTTATTTCCTTGCAAATGTCCAACCAACTTGCAGTAAATTTTTGTGATCTCGTCATCCAATACAACAGCACCTTGAAAATCTCACTTCATTTTTCCTGGTTTTTCATGAAATTAAGGGGGTCAACATTTTACTTTTGCAGTGATGGAGGCTACTTCAATGCAATAATGACCTTCCCCCAGAACTATCCCAACAGCCCGCCATCAGTAAGATTTACTTCTGAGATGTGGCATCCGAATGGTAAGCTTCGCAATCTGACTGATATTCATGTCTAATATTTGATCATGTCAAAGTTCTGACAATTCTTATATTGAATTCTCAGTTTATCCTGATGGACGTGTTTGCATTTCAATTCTTCATCCACCTGGCGAAGATCCCAATGGTTATGAGCTTGCAAGCGAACGGTGGACACCAGTGCACACGGTGGGCCTTCTTGTTCAGGGCACGTAAATGTTTGTTTGTTTGTTTTTTTATTTAAGGGAGACTAGGTCTCTTCTTTTAAGAAAGCAACAATTGTTTGTTTACAGAGACCCCGAGGGGGGCAGCTAATACTATTTACGTTTAACTCTTAGGGCCTGTTTGGATCCCATGAACTGAAACCAATATCTAGACAGTGCTTCCCATTTTATTATTAAATTACTTTCCAATTCCTCTCAATCCTGGGAACCAAACAGGGCCTTATACAATTATTCCTGCATACTGTGGTATGTCTGTGTGTGGGTTTGTTTCTGTGTGAGTGTGTCACTGTTTGACTCTGCACGCGCGCGTGTCTCTTTCTCTCACACACACACAGTAGCTAAAATACTATATGACTGAATTTTTTGTTGATGTATACCCAAGCCCATACCTTTTGTTTACATCAGTAGAAATTAGCCAATGTGCATGTTGCCTTCGCTAATTTATTGTGCTTTCATAAATGCAGGTTGAAAGTATAGTTCTGAGCATCATTTCAATGCTCTCTAGTCCGAACGACGAGTCTCCAGCGAATATTGAAGCTGCTGTAAGTGCACATGGCATTACTCTCTCTCTCTCTCTCTCTCTCTCTCTCTCGCATAGGAAAACAAACTGCAGAAGTTCTTTTGTGCTGCTTCCAGCGCAACGTTAAAAGTGGTCACTTATCGGCTTTGCAATTGCATTAGTCAGTTTTGCTGATGGATAAATAGTTAAATACAGTATTGGGTCCTTTGAAATACACTACTTGAGTAATTATTTGCTTATTCACCCGTTAAATATTTATTGTGATCATTTTCTCCTTGATTAGCACATAGCGCTTCTGCTATCGTCAAGGTAGTTGACTTTATGTACTTCTGAAGTTTTCTAATCATTTAGTCTAAGCCACACCATATCTGAACTTTCTGGCATTGGGTAAAACACTGAAATGTATGTTGTTATCAGATACCATTGGTTTCAGAAGTTGTACATGAATTTGTCTTGCAGAAGGATTGGAGAGAAAAGCGGGATGAGTTCAAGAAAAAGGTAAGGCAATGTGTCCGCAGATCTCAGGAAATGCTCTGAAGGAGGAACATATGGGGAGTTGAACGAGTGCTGCAACTGGTGTGCTGCAATTCACAACCAATTACCTCGTGCCAGCATTCTTTTGCTTTTCTCCTGTATATTTTCAGTTCAGTGTCATTCCTTCCTATGGTGGTGTTGGGTCTCTTTAGACAAACTCGGGACTGTTGCTTATCCTAAAAATTCGATTGTACTGTGTGGCATGAAATGATCGATATCGAAGAATATTTTGAACATGCTGCCACCTAATCATAATTTTCATGGTGAACATCATAAGATGTGATGGCTGCCAAATGTGTCTCAGCTCATTTCCTCGCTGGGTATTCAGACTCCCTCTGCGTACCTGACCAACTCAGAATTTTAATATTTGTATACTCCCTCGTTGGATATTATCTCTTCGTCCGGTAATACAGGACATTTTAGCATTTAAATTTTATCATCAAATATAATGTATTTTAGAGAGACAAAAATTAGTCTAGCATTAAATACTTTTCATTTATCAACCAATCATCATTAATCAAGTTAATGATAGTGTCTGATTAGTGTCTGATTAGGAAATAAAATAAGGGTATATGTTTTTTTTATTTTCTCTTTTAATTTGTTTTTAGAATGTATTATATTACATGACAGAGAGAGTAATAAATTCTATGAATAAAAAGTTAAAACGATTTATAATTTGGAATGGATGGAGTAGTTAAGTTCAGGATGTGCTCTATCCACTGTGCTGGGCTAATAAGTCGGATCTCATCCCATGAATCAAAACCACGGATCCTCCACTGGTTAGGACTGTATTAGGAACGGTTTGTATCTCTTTCTCTAAATTTTAGAGCTCTAAAAACTTTATAGCATTTTAGCTCAGTTTCAAGATTTAAAGCTCTAATGTGAGATGAGTTTATAGCACTTAAGCTCAGTTTCATGATCTAAAGCTCTAATGTGAGGCGGGCTAAAATTTAGAGCTAACTTTAGACCTCCAGTTTGGATGACACCGCATTAAAAGGAACATATTCCAATAGTATCATGTGTTATCAGAGCATCGACCTCAAATTATATAGCTAATCAAATTATATAGCTAACCAATAGTTATTCTTCTAGGAAATCCATGCCTCCTCTAGCTCCCCGAGTAGAATAGAACATTAAAAGAAGAGTAGAGTTATAGCTCCCCAAGTAGAACATTACATGAAGAGTAGAGTTATAGGCTTATAGCTAGGAGTAATGGATCCAAGATACAGAACGTTCAGAAACGTCCCATTCTGAACATGAGATGAGATTCAAATCATCGAGCTCTTTGTCAGCTCCGTTGGCATCTTGACTGCCCATGAGATGAGATTCAGAACATCGAGCTCTCTGTCTTCTCCGTTGACATCTTGACTGCCATCTCGGACGAATCCACTTCCCTCTTTGCCTCTGTGGCTTTGCCACCGCTCTCTCCTTGGCCTCCACCTAATCCATGATGGCAACCACCGTCTAGGTGACCTTGCCCACAACAAATAGGTCTTGAGATAGGGTTCTGGATTTGGATTGGAGGACGTGTGGGGTGCTTATTTATATGGAGAGCACGGACAGAGCAGGTAGAGACGATCGGCAAGGAGAGTCCAGTTGGAGCTCTAAGCATTTATGGATTATCACGGGTGCCCTGATTTAGAACTTTGGAGTGCGCAGACGAGGGAGGATGGACAGGAGAGAGCGTGTGTGAGCAGAGGAGGGGAGCAAGTGGGCGGAGACGAGAAGGGACCAAGCAGGATAGGGCCGCCTGACCCGCCTCCGCACCGCCGCTAGGGCCATGCATGAAAGGATGAGGGCAGGCAAAAAAAAATGGCAATAGGGCGACATTGACGATGCGTGCGGTGCTCAAATGAGCATGGTGGGATCGAAGACATACGCGAGTGGGACAGTGGTTGATTAAAAGATGAGGTGGACGGTTGGCCCGAAAGGATGGGCCGGACAAAAAAATATTGTAGAAATTTTAGCTCTTTAATATTAGTTATAGATATAGATTTATAATGTGAGAAAATTAAAATTGCTATGACAGCGTTATAATAATAATGCAAAATAAATGGGAAATAAGATGTCTTGCAAATGGTGTAAGATTCGACAAATTTAGCTAAAGAAAACAATTTCACAGGTATGTTTGTTTCTTGTCTGCTTCATCTACATTGCTTCGGTTGTCTTTGTTGTCTTTGTTGTGTATGGCTAGTACTAGGGGTTGTGCTCCTTAGCATATGAAATTGTATACTGACTAACTTGATCCTTACTTCATAGTAATTGCAGATGTCCCGATGACCATAATTGTTGTAGAAATATTAGTTCACCTCAGGTTATGCGTCAAATGCAACCAAAGTTATTCGTTTCAGTGTCGACGATTCATGAATGATGTGATGTAACAGTGGCTATTAGCCTATTACTGATAGAGTGTATTATCTAGGGTCTTTAAAAAGGAGTATGTTCTATTATTAAGTACCGCTATTTAGGACAGAAGCTGTAATTATAATTGCAAAAGTTTATCTATTTTTTATTGTGTTCAACTAGTGTTGTTGATGGTCACAAAAAAAAAACTAGTGTTGTTGATGCTTGAATTCTGGTCTACATATGAGCTACACTTCTCACAAAATCTATCGTGATTTGCAATATTTATGTAGATTCCATGTTCTCTATTTTTTTCCTAATTTTTCTTTGAACTTTGGTGACCTTACTTTATATGAAAATGAGCTGAGATATGATTAGTTCCAGCAACATGGATCCATCCACGGGGCTGATGGTTCCGTTCCAACGACAACGTGGATTAGGGGGAAAAACACGGAGGTTTTGATTAGCCAGCAAAATGCCTGCACCTGTACTAATTTGCACTTGGTGCCAAATGAGTCTAAGATATGGTTGTAACATTCACTTTCCATGCATCTGCCTGTGGGTTCAAACACTACAAGAGTTGAAGCTGAAGAAGAAAAAAGAATAGTCGAATACTCCATGTCTCCATCCATTCTAGTATAGAAGATGTAACCACTTTTTTTATTTGGTCCTATAATTTAGACGTCTTCTCTTGGTTGAATTAACGTGCATGTAAGTAATTGGACACCATTCCTCGGGCTCAACAAGCATGCAAGCAAGTAGACAGTTAATTAAGTGTGAGAGCAAGAGAAGTCTTTGTTGAACGTGAATGTAAATGAACAAAGATTTGGGAACAACTATCTATTTCATTGATCTCTTGGACGCCGTACGGACATCGTACGGACGTGACTGTTGGGAGAAAGGCAACTGTTCACTGGAACAATCTACTACCGAAGGAACATGTCCCTTCGTAGTGCTAACTGCTTATACTAACTAACTTCTAATTCTCTTCCGCTGTTGATGAGATCACTGAGTATAAAGAGGTGTCTGTTAGGAACAGACACCGTTTTGTAACACTCCCCCTTGATCGAATCTTCTTTGAGATCAATGCAGCTGTATGTTTGGATTCCTCGAAAAACCCAGTGGAAAAAATCGAAGGAATATGTATGTATAGATATGCTATAAAAACTCCTTTAAACCTTATAGGAAAATAAAGAGAAAATATCACATATGAGTGTGATTTAAATAAATCACTATGTCATTGGTATCCCATTAAAAACCCTAGTGGGGAAAAATATTGGAGATATGACATATAGATTACTCCCCCAAAAACCATTTAAGGAATGAGTGAATGCGCCAAAATTCCAGAGGGTCGGAGGTGAGAAGTAATATAAAGTGATATGTTTTCATTCCGTTAAAAAACTTTTAATTCTCATCCGGATTAAAAATGCGCAACAATCCACCCGGAATGTGCCAATCCGATGGAAACGAACAAGGCCTTAAGGAAAAATATGAGAAGTAATATAAAGTGATATGTCGTTAAAACTCTTGTAATAACCCAGTGGAAAAATCAGGGGAAAATATGACGACATATTGGTATTGGTATTGCCTCTTGGATAACTCATGTGAAAAACCTTTTCAGGGAAAAACCATGGATGAGTTGTGAGGGCAATATGTGTCTTTGATATTTCCCATAAAAACCTCGGTGGGAAAAATAGGAAATATGACACATGCTTATGTTAATATTATCTCATTAAAAACTTTAACAAGAAACCTTGTAAGTAAAACTTGTGAAAGAAAAGAGTATAATATGATGCTAGTACAGGTCAACATTTAGGAGATGTCTTCCCCTGATTCTGACAAATCTCGAAGTCGCCGCATACCAATTCCATGTACCAATTTTTGAAACACAGAAGTTGGTAAGAACTTGGTAAATAGGTCAGCGAGATTATCACATGACTTGATTTGTAAGATGTTTATTTCCCCGCTTTCTTGTAATTATGGGGATAAGACAATTTAGGAACAATATGCTTAGTGATATTACTCTTTATGTAATCTGTTTGCATCTGTGTAACACAAACGGAATTATCTTCATAGATAATTATAGGTGATTCAATTGAACCAATACCACATGACTATTGTATATGGTTAATCATTCTACGAAGACATACACATTCTCATGATGCCTCGTATAGAGTAATAATTTTAGAATAATTAGTAGAAATTGCTCTCAGAGTCTGCTTAGAAGACTTCCATGAAATAGTTGTACCTCAATGTAGGAATACAAATCCTGTTTGGGATTTTCCGTTACGAGGATCAGATAAGTAACCTGCATCAGCATAACCAATCATACTGGGGTCATGATTTTTCTTGAAGAATAAACCAAGATCCTTTGTGCCATTAAGGTATCTGAGGATACACTTCGCTCCCGTCCAATGACGACAAGTTGGGTCCGCACTATGCCTAGCCAGTAAGTTCACTGCAAATGCGATATCAGGCCTAGTGCAATTTACAAGATACATAAGTGCGCCAATGACACTGAGATATGGGATTTCTGGTCCCAAAATCTTTTCTCCAATATCCCGTGGTCTAAATGGATCTTTCTCTATTTCTAAGGAACGAACAACCATCGGAGTTTTATTAGGGTATGTTTTATCTATATTGAATTTCTCCAATATTTTCTGGATATAGGCTGATTGATGCACTAAAATCCCTAAAGGACAGTGCTCAAGTTGTAAGCCTAGACAATACTTGGTCTTACCCAAATCCTTCATCTCGAATTTCATCTTTAGATGTTTGCGTGCTTCTTCTATATCCTTTGGACTGCCAATGATATTTAAATCATCAACATACACGGATATAATACAAAATCCCGTTCGAGATTTCTTAATGAAAACACATGGGTAATCATCATTATTAGTGTATCCTTTCTTTAGACGAAATTCACTCAGTCGGGTGTACCACATTCGTCCCGACTGCTTCAAGCCATATAATCACTTTTGTAGTTTTACACAATACATGTTGCGATTTGCGTTTGGATTCGAATTTGGATTCCATCGAGAACCTTCATGTATATGTCTGAATCAAGTGACCCATATAGATATGTTGTCACCACATCCATCAATTGCATAGATAGATGATTTTGAAATGCCAATGATATTAAGTATCGAAAAGTAATTCCACTCATTACTGGAGAATATGTTTTATTGTAATCAATGCCGGGTCTCTGCGTGAACCCTTGTGCTACTAGCCTCGCTTTATATCTCACCACCTCATTGTTCTCATTCCGTTTCCGACCGAAAACCCATTTAAAGCCTACAGGAAAGACTTTAGAAGGTGTAGGTATTGCAGATGTGAATACCCCTCTTCTAGTGAGCGAGGCTATCTCAGCTTGAATTGCTTCTTTCCATTGAGACCAGTCCAAGCCCTTTTTGCACTCTGCCATGGTCTTAGGATCTGGATCATTGAGAAAGATTTATGCAATTGCTGCGGAGAAGTACATGTCGACAACAGTAGTCTTACGATCGTATGATTCTCCAGAATCTATATAATTGATGGAAATTTCTTTTACCCTATTATTTGACTCAATATTTCCCAAAACTATGGAGTAAGGGTGTTTCGGTATCCCAAGATCAGAATTTGGATGCATCGTTGATCTAGGTTGTGGATTTGGTCCTGATGTTGGATTTTTATCCACTACTGGGTGTCTACCAACGTGAGGTTGGCTTGGATTTACTGATTTAGAGGATTTAGCCCTCGATATCCTCGAACGCTTACTTGGAGCATTATCCTTAGGAGCGGCCGTACTTCTCCCCCTCTCCTTTAGGTGGGAGTTGAATGGTTTTTATTGGTACCTGTACCTCCACTCTTTCGGGCGCATTGCGAGCAGGATAAGAGGATTTAGTGACACCCTTATAATCAGTAAATGCTTCTGGCATGTTATTTGCAATATGTTGCAAGTTTATGATTTTCTGAACTTGTTCAGTCTCTAGAGTACGTGGATCTGAGGGGGGAATGCCTTGGGCATTCCAGATGATTTCCTGGCATTCGTTTTGGTACTTGAAGTCTCCCCCTAATGTCGGGAAATGGTCCTCATTAAATATGCAGTTAGCGTATCGGGTCGTGAATAAGTCCCCTGTAAGAGGCTCGGGGTATTTGATAATTGATGGAGATTGATATCCCACATAGATACCAAGATTCTTATGTGGGCCCATAGAGGTACGCTTAGGCAGTGAGATCGGTACGTATACAACGCAACCGAATTTTCGTAGATGAGAAATATTTGGCATATTCCCACGTACTAATTGCAATGGAGAGACTGTGTGATATGCAATTGGTATTGAATTAAGTCAACAGCGTGTAAGACTGCATGACCCCAACATGAAGTTGATAGGTTGCAATTTTATAATAGCGATCTTGCAATGAGTTTAATTCTCTTAATAAGAGATTCTGCTACACCATTTTGTGTATGGACATATGGGACAGAGTGCTGAACTTGAATTCCCAAAGCCATACAATAATCGTTGAAAGCCTTTGAGGAAAATTCAGCATCATTGTCCATTCGAATTGATTGAATTTGAAGTTCAGGATTATGTGCTCTAAGTCTAATAACTTGAGCAATAATTTTTGCAAATGCATGGCTACGTGTGGACAAAAGACACACATGAGACCATCTAGTAGATGCATCTATTAGAACCATGAAGTACCTGAACGGTCCAGATGGTGGTTGTATGGGGCTACAAATATCTCCTTGAATGCATTCAAGAAAATTTTAGTGGCTCATTTTGGATCTTAACGGACGATGGTCGTACAATCAATTTCCCCATAGTGCATGAAGTGCACATAAAATCTGAAGATTTGAGGAATTTAGCAGTATTTAACTCATGACCATTAGAATTGCTAATAATTTTTCGCATCATCCCTATACCAGGATGGCCAAGGCGTTCATGCCAAGTTTTGAATGCGTCAACATTCTGAAAAATTACCTTGTACGCAATATGCGGTACGGGTTTGATGTATGTGTAGTACAATGCAGACGGAAAAGAGGGAATTTTCTCAACAATTCGTTTGCCATATCCGCTATTTTTAGTAATAAGGAGAATTTCCTCATTATTGTCATCACAGGTTTCTATATGGAAATTATTTTGATGGATATCTCTATAACTTAACAAGGTACGCTTTGAATCGGGATACAATAATGCATCCTCAGTTATAATTTGGGTACCCATGGGGAGTACAATAGTGGCACGATCAGAGCCAACTATTGTAGCATCGCGCCCGGCGATTGTCAAAACATTTCCTTGTCTTTTTGTAAGAGTTTGAAAATATTTTGTTTCTCTAAGTATAGAATTAGTGGTGCCACTGTCTACTAGGCATAATTCCTCCTCCATCAGATTGACCCCCCTAGAAATGTTCTGAACTCGTCCTAGGTCTGATTCTTTGGTTCGTGTCCCCGATGTAGGCCACCAGTATGGCGGTGATGATTCTGCAGCGAGCGCTGGTATCCTGGAAGATGATGCGCATCAGAGTTGTTGTTGCCGGCAACAGCGGATAGCCTCCGCTGGAATCGACGGAGACGGAGAAGCCAACTCCGCACTCAGTTTTTGAGAGCAACGTGACTGGTAACGTGTTGAACGTGAATGTAAATGAACAAAGATTTGAAAACAACTATCTGTTTCATTGATCTCTTTGGATTATATACAAGCGAAGGGTCGCGTTGTACGGACGTCGTACGGACGTGACTGTTCGGGGAAAGGTAACTGTTCACTGGAACAGTCTACTACCGAAGGGACATGCCCCTTCGTAGTGCTAACTGCTTATGCTAACTAACTTCTAATTCTCTTCCTCTGTTGATGAGATCACTGAGTATAAAGAGGTGTCTGTTAGAAACAGACACCGTTTCGTAACAGTCTTGTACCAAGAACGTAGCCTCAATGCAGAAGGGCATTGCTTGGATGCATTAGCACTAAAAATTAGCTAGCTAATAGCTAAGAGCATCTCCAAGATCCTTTCTAAAATCTACTCTCTAAATCATCATTTGGAAAGTCATTTGAGTAAGAATCATTTTCTATATCTTTGTATTCTCCAATAGTTTCTCTATCATGTGCGCAGTCTAGAGAGCCATCCTTGCTCTCTATTTTCGGATAACGAGAAATCCGGAATAGAAGATATTAATTTTTGGATATCCAATTAAGAGACTGTTGGAGGGTATTTTTTCATCGAAATCTCTATTCCTGTAAATTAGGAAACATATAAATAGTCTCTTAAAAGATGCCCTAATAGTTACTCATTTTTAGAAGGGGACTGTTTGAATCCACTGCTAGCTAATAGGTGGAACAATTCTCACCACCGATCTGCCCAAAGCTTGAGATCATGCATTCACGCCATGTCACCGATCCGCGCCTTCCTTCTGTTGACCAATCGCGGGCCGCCGTGCTCCTCTTTAACTTCCCGCCCTCGCGAGTTTCCTTCTGTTGATCCGTGCGTGATGGCACCAAAGGCGGAGAAGCCGGCCGATAAGAAGCCCGCGGCGGAGAAGGCACCCAAGGCGGCGGAGAAAAGCCCAAGGCCGAGAAGCGGCTACCGTCGTCCAAGGATGGCGGCGCGGGTGGCGACAAGAAGGCAAGAAGAAGGTGAAGAAGAGCGTGGAGACCTACAAGATCTACATCTTCAAGGTGCTGAAGCAGGTGCACCCGGACATCGGCATCTCCTCCAAGGCCATGTCGATCATGATCTCCTTCATCAACGACATCTTCAAGAAGCTTGCACAGGAGGCGGCGCGCCTCGCCAGGTACAACAAGAAGCCCACCATCACGTCGCGCGAGATCCAGACCTCGGTCCACCTCCGTCCTCCCCGGCGAGCTCGCCAAGCATGCTGTCTCCAGGGCACCAAGGTCGTCACCAAGTTCACCTCCGCCTAGTAGAATGGTAGATGATTCCTGTTTGACCTTGTTCTTAACGGCTCTTCCCTTTGTCAGGTGTAGAGAATCATTTTGTAATTTGTGACGTAGGATTTACGAACAATGAAATGAATTAATGAATGCTAGTGCAACATTTGGTATCCAAATGCCTTGTCATAATTTTCCAATTGATAATACTCTGCAATAAACTTTGTTTGGCATGAGCAACGGAAATGAAATGCGAATTTGTGATTGTGGTTATAATGGTATCGTAAAAAAAAAGATATGTTTTTATCAGTTTTGGTTATCGTCTTCTTGTTCTGTGGGGGTGCCTTGTGGATTGGCGAACTCCGGCAGGCTGCCAGGGAGGTCGGAGCCGTAGACGTGCCCCATTTTGGTGCGCTTCGTCTCGAGGTACTTCTGGTTCTCCTCGGTGATGGGAGAGATCACCGGCACCCTCCCCACCACGGCGAGTCCGTAGCCCTTGAGCCCGATGAACTTGGCCGGGTTGTTGGTCATCAGCCGCATCGTGCGCACGCCGATGTCACGGAGTATCTGAAACGTACATTTTTGGATCCAAAAACACATCAATCTCCCCTTAACTTAAAGAAGAAATGAGGCAAGAATTGCGTGGATTCTGGCTACCTGGGCGCCGATGCCGTACTCGCGGGCGTCCACGGCGAGGCCGAGCTCGACGTTCGCCTCGACGGTGTCGTGGCCCTGGTCCTGGAGATTGTAGGCGCGGAGCTTCTGTCCCAGGCCAATGCCGCGGCCCTCGTGGCCGCGGAGGTACACGAGCACGCCACGGCCGGCCCTCTCGATCAGCTGCATCGCCAGCTCAAGCTGGTTGCCGCAGTCGCAGCGGGCTGACCCGAGGATGTCCCCCGTCAGGCACTCTGAGTGCACTCTCACCAGGACATCTTCACCGTCATCGATATCGCCCTGCGTCACAAACATTGGCCAGTGAGAGAATCACACGAGACCAACTGGAAATCAAGGCAAAACGTGCATGTTCTGTTCAACATCAATGGAGAAAAGTGACTGCAGTACCTTCACAACAGCAATGTGCTCAGTTCCATCGAGCTTGGATTGGTAGCAGTAAGCTCGGAAGAGGCCCCACTTCGTCGGCAGGCGAGACACAGCAATCAGCTCCACCAGCTTCTCCCGCTTCCTTCTATACCTGAATCAAACCAAAAAACATTTTGTTGAAACCTTCATATCGTAAAGTATATTTGCAACTTGGAAATATCCCAGCACCAAACCAATACATTTCAGTTTTCAGGTATATTAATGTTTGATCTTGAAGAGTTATGCAAGCAGTATAGTATAATCAAAAGATAAAACAACGGAAGCTTTTAGGTTCACAAAGGCTTCACCTTAAGATATACTAACCGGATGAGATCAGCAATCGAAATGATCGGTATGTCATGCTCCATAGCCATCTGCTGCAGAACTGTTATTCCTGCCAGTGAACCATCCCTGGGGTCCATGACAGTGGAGAGAATGGATACAGGACGGAAACCTGACAATGCAACAAGATCAACTGACGCTTCTGTGTGGCCAGCTCTTTTCAGCACACCCCCATTTCGGTACTTGAGGGGGAATATATGGCCTGGTCTCCTCAGATCACTGGGCTTGGAATCAGGAGAGGCTAGAGTAAGGATGGTCTTTGCCCTATCTGCAGCTGAGACACCGGTAGATATGCCAACCCGGGCATCCTGAAGAGATTGAAAATATCTTTTCAAGTTTGGTAGTACATCTAAGAATTTGCAAAGGCTATGAGATGATATATCTTTACCACTGTCACCGTGGAAGCAGCAGCCGTGATATCTTCGATTTCTGTAATTGGGGACATCATAGGAATCATCAGTCTTGTTAGGTCCTCTTCTGTCATGCCTACTGAGATAATCCCAGAACCGTTCCTGATCATGAATGCAATTGACTTTGGGTTCACTAGAGTGGCCGCCATCACAAGATCACCTTCGTTATCGCCGTTTTCATCATCTACAGCAATAACAAACTGGAGAAGAATGAATGGTTAACTTTGTAGCTAAATTCAACTGTACTATGGAAACAATGCTAATGTAGGTATCACATTCTGCATTCAAGGTCCTGTCCTGAGCTTTGAAGCAAAGGACTTGCTCCATGTAGATGCAAGTGTCGCATTGTTTTCACTTGAGTCTTATAATTTTTAAATAAAAGTAAATAGATTTGAGCAATAGAAAGGTGCACGCACATTAGTACATTGTGGTATTTATATAACCAAAATACTGGGAAGGAAATCCATCTAGTTGAGCTGCTGAATTCAGTGAATCGTGCTTGATTGTGAGCTACTACTATATTAGTAAGAATTCATGTATTACACATTATATGGAATATGATCTTCAAGTAGGACAATCCAATCTAGCCTGATCATGCATGTTCCATGCACATGAATGGAACAAACTGCAGGGATGAAAAGTACAGGCTGAAGTTATGATGAATATGACAAAGAGTACTAGCTCCGTGCCCAAGTTTAAACCTAAACTATGACGAATTGATGATACAAAATATAGTAAAGATACCAATTATAGTGATGAAAAGCGTTAAGGTGTGAAATATACTTAACGTAGTCATTCACCTACCTTTCCTTCACGCAAAGCATTTATAGCCTGGTCGATTGAGGCAAATCCATCGGTAGGTTTGTCTGGATCACCCTCTGCATCACTGACAAAGAAATCTCTTGTATCCTGAGTGATTTCAGCACCAACAGTTCTAAAAGAAGCACCAGACGCATCGAGTCCTTGGAAAACAGGTCCATTACTGTTTTTGTTAAAAGGCTTATTAAAGCGCCCTGGACCATTAAGTTCATCGCCAATCGCATAACATCTAAACTTTAAGCATCCCTTTCTGATGACTGCAAATCCTATACTGTTAAGACCACCAGGGCCTTGCTGCAACCTGAAAGATTGGAAAATAACAGGCAGGTTACAGAGAAGGTATGAACTCTTCGAAGGCCTTCCACAGACAAAAGAGTTGGGAGAATCAATACCTTGTGTTTGCAAAAGCGTGAGATGGCAAGTGGGAGCTCAGAAGAACACGGTCCATTTGGTGATCCCAGACTCCCAGTTTATCAATTTCGGGACCTCAGAGCCGAAAACATTTAGTTTATATACCTCTCACCTGCAGTGTCACAACACCTCCCAGTCGATCATTTGGAGTTATCTGCTCATGCAGATAACGGAAGGAAAATCCAACAGAGTGGAGGAAAACTGACCACATATCTCTGAGCTGCAAGATAGAAGCAGCCGTATCGACACATCGCACACTTCAGGTGATGCCAAGGCCAAGATATCACGCTTCGAATGCCTTCTGTTGTGGGTCAAATGAAATATAAGTTGGACAAGACAATGACAAGTTAAAGGTATTTTTGTAGATAGCATCTTTTGGATGGCTTCACAAGATAATGGAGCTTCTTTCAGGTCAATTTCATCAAAAGTGATTAGAAGATTTGCGACTTCTCTCTCTCTCTCTCTCTCTCTCTTTTCAGTCAGGAACACATTGCAAAAATAATATCAGTTTCATCAGTTACAGCAAACTATCTGAAGTGATGATGACCATTTCTTTTGAAGAAACTAAATGCTTAAGCAACATTTGAGGCTGGGAGTTTCCTGAATTTGGAAGTGTCGGCACTTTGCACTGAAAAGTAGCAGAACGATCCTACCAAAAATCAGGCATCAAGCCAGTTGCCAACCTGAAAATCAATCGCCTTCACCCTTCAGCTCTTTTCCCTAGTTTTTTTCCTGGTCAACAAATAGTTCCACCGCTTGCAGGACTGAACAACCAAACCCGTAGGGGAAGAGGCTGCACCACTTGAGGAACGAAGGCATGCAGCCTGTTCGTGAGGCCGTATCGTATCGTGGATTATTTACGCTGGCTGGTTTGGTGTGAGAGAAAAACACGTTCCCGGCTGGAAATTTACAATGTCTAGGAGCAAGCGAACAGGCTAATAGTCGCGCCTGCAAGCAGCAGCGGCCAAGCGGTAGTCCCCAAAAGAATGAAGCAAGGGTGAGGCCATGGGCACTAGGGAAAGGTATGCGCATCCGGTTGAAGCGTGGAACGGTGGCAGCCGCGGCCGGGGTGTGGATGGAGGTCTTGGCAGGCGGCGGCTAGGTTGGCATTTGGGAGGTGAGGTCGCTGCCGTCCGGCCGCGGAATCAGTCCACCCGGCGGCCCGGCCGCTTGGCGCATTTTTCGGGATTGCAAAATGGAAACGCCTGCCTGGCTAGACCTAGGCATATCAGACCGTAGATGCTGCTTCGGGCCGTTACTACAAGCGGCTCCCGGAGCCAATTTTCAGCTCCTGCTGCCAAACGTCACTTTCGATTCACCCACAGAGCTCTGCAAAATGCGTTCTCACAGACGCAGTGTGTCAGGTGGAGCTAAAAAAAATGCGCTCTCACAGACGTAGTGTGTCAGGTGGAGCTAAAAAAAATGCGCTTCTCCCGGCTCCCATTTGACACCTACGGCCCCAAGCGCGTGGAGGTCGAGTCTGCCACCGACCTCAGGGAGACGCATGCGGGGAGGGCGGCCGGGCGCACGGCCGCGCGCGTAGTCGCCGGGACGGCCGTCCGGGCGTGGCTCGTCGGAGCTCCGAGCGCTTGAACGAGTGGGCGCCGGGTGTGGGGTCGCGCGGGGCCGTTGGGTGCCCGAGCACAAGGCCGCCGGGCAGCCGAGCGCCACGCACAGGGCCGCTGGGCGCAGGGTTGCTGGACCACCGGATCTCCAAGGATGGCGAGGGCGAAGCGGTTGCGACTCGCGTCTGCGCGATGCGGGAGGCGAGCGGCTAGGGAAGATGAGGAGAGAGAAAGAATAAAGAGGAGGGTACAGAGGAGAAAAATAGGCACGGGGAACAGATAACATAAGAAAAGAAAAGGAAAAAGAAAAGAAAAGAAAGAAAAAAATAAGGATATTATAGACTTTTTACTCTTTTGGCTACCCGGGAAACTGTTACGCCAAACGATCTTAAAAACGGCTTCAGCTCCCTAAGAGAATCTGCTCCTTCAGAAGAGTCGGAACCAGAGCTGTTTTTGGAGGAGCCGGAGCCCTACCAAATAAGCCCTTCCCTTCCATCCTTAAGAGAGAGAGAGAGAGAGAGATTACTCAAGTACTATAACCAATTGAATTCAAGTGAGCAACATAAATACATGTGATAATTCTGCATCAAGGTAGGTGACGAAAAGGCTCCAAGAAGTACGAAAAGGCTCCAAGAAGTTATTAAAGAAACAATCAACCACATCATATCCAGTGGCTGCCCGATCCAGCAAAGCCTTCACCATTGCATCAGTTAAAAACTCACAATGATTTTCTTAAAAAAAACAATTCCACAATGACCCCTTAGCGTTTCACATGACGGCGACAAATGGCACCTGAGCTGAGCCATGTAAAAAAAAAAACAATTCCACAATGACCCTTTAGCTTTTCACATGACAGCGACAAATGGCACCTGAGCTGAGCCATGTTTTTCTCAGGTTCGTTTCTTCCTGCTCCCCTTTCCCAGCTTGGACTTGCGTTGTTTGAACACATGCAGGTACAGCTTCAGCCATAGGAACGGATAGACCACCAGCACACCCTGTGTCACGTCAGGCACATAGCAGAATAGAGAAATGGTTGAACTTTTGTTAAGAAACAGTCAAACACTCAAACTGAACGCATCAGCAGTACACGATGTTCCAGTTTCACGGAGTCTTGACTTACCACTAGAAATGAATGGTAGCTCATGGAGAACTTCTTGAAGAAACCTGAGTAAAGGTTCCTCTTCTTCACAAACGGGAGAGTTTGATACATAGTCCACACTGAAAGGACAGCAAGAACCAACCTCAGTTTAGCTTTAGTCAAGAGCAACACTGTTGTGAGAAGACATTTTGAGCTTACTTTCTCCTGGGCCAACCCCGATTGGATACAGTGGGATAAAAGCAGTGTACCTACAGGGAGCTCCCATGAGTCTATTCTTCCATAGGAATAATGATATCGGTATTACATATATTATATACAAGTAGCTTAAGATGAGAATTGGAAATGCAGTAGTCCGGAAGAGTCAAGCGGACAGGTGAAAGTGTGAAACTATAAAAACAAAAAGGTAATACCACTTGACAGCTATGCATCTTTTTAAACTGAGAAGCAATTTGAGAAGGGGTGAACTGAGCATTGTACTGTGTTGCTAAATTATTATAGAAACAATTTGGGATTGCTTTGCAACTCAGGACGTGTTTCTTCTTCCAAGTCAACTATAAGGCCTTTTTTTTTATGGTGCTATAATGTTTGAACAATGGCAGCAGCTTTGGAAATCATGGGTGCCTTCCAAATGCAAGGTCTGTCTACGGCTTGCTTTTAGAAACAAGTGTTGGATGGCTGATCCGTTTGGCAAAAAGGGGTCTGCCCCGCCCTGAGTATTGTGTATTATGTGACTAAGAGGAGGAGACAGTGCAGCACATTCTCACAAATTGTGTCTTTGCTCGTCAGTTGTGGCTCAATCTGTTAGGGCTGGACTGCTGGAGCATACAATGCCTAGTCGCCATGACAAGTGCTTTGCAGACTGTTGGAGAAAAGTAAGTAAAAAGATTGGGAAGGCCAAGGCCTAAAGAAAGGATTTAACAGTGCTATCATACTTGGGGCTTGGATTATATGGAACCACAGGAATGGCTGTGTTTTTTATGCAGCTTCTTCCTCCCGATTGCCCATCACTCCTTCAAAGAAGAGATGAGGCTGTGGTGTTTGGCTGGAGCCCGAAAGCTCGAGGAGTTATTCTTTGGTCATGTTCAGGGCATAGGTTGAGCCTTTGCTTTGTTTGGGTCGTTGTAATAGGATAACTGGTGACTTTTTTAGTTGTAATTTTTTAGGCCTTCTCTTCTCTTATATCTGGGATAAGAGGGTTGTCCTGTATTCTTTCCCCACTTTTTCCTCTCTTTAATACAAAGATACGCAGCTCTCCTGTGTGATCGAGAAAATAAAATAAAATCAGGGCATGCATGAACTCCCTAGACTAGGGGCTTCATTGCATCTTCAACAACCTGAGCCTAGGACCTGCTATTGTCCCTGTTCAGTGATCCTTCCCTTTAGTCCCTTACATTACTAGAAAATATTTATTGAAATTTCGTCTGATCTAAGTACTAACCATATTTTGTAACGATGAAAAATCCTCTCAGCGCCCCCACACACACACACACACAAAAAAAAAAAAGTACACAAACAAACAAACGAAAAAAAAAAAACAAAGGTCATGGCAACAAGATATCCTGCAAAATTGCTTTTTCCAGTATGCACAAAAATACAAAGAACTCATAACATTAGACTGCACATTGAATTGGAGATTGTTGCAGTGTGAAACCTGAGATATGTCAGCCATCCTGGACAAACTTTTAAGGTAGTCAGAGCATAGTGAGAGTAACGGATGACCTGTACAATAAAAACACGAAGCAAATTATCATTGTATAGAGATGATCCTTAAACCACATATCTTGAGGAGAACTAAGAAACAAATGGGATGCCTAAAATTGGATAGATAGATTTAAGTACTAATAGATACTTAAGGACTTAACATTCTTATATTACCAGACACATGATAGATCATAAATTGAAAGATGGCTGATTTCCAAGAGTTTATTTAGGAAACAAGATAGTCAAGAGTCTCTTCCCAATATATGGTAATAGATTTTAATTACTGCATCATCTCCTTCAAGTGAAACATTTTTCCCACTATTCCCACCAGCACACCATCAGTGCTTAGACGTTAATACTACTCTAATCATGATTTTTCTTCAATGTGTATCAATGGATGTTAGTACTCTTTTCATCTGAATATCGGCATGCCGATGCATTGACATTTAAGAACAGTGTTATTGTCTGAACTCTGATCAACTCAATTCTTTTCCAACAGACTATCTACTCTGATATTGCTGAAACAGTTGCTACGGTACCCCCTAATAACTGTGGACCATTGATCTAGATGTTAATTAAGACATATTACTTCCTAGGAGGTAATGGTAGAAAAATAGAAAAAATAAGGAAAACATCTTATTATTAGATCTAGCAGATATACATGATCTTACTTTCCTATTTGATGTAATGTGACATGTCGATATAAGATCTAAAATATCTTTCTTCTCACGTGTTCATTTTCTTTGTAATATTTTTAATATAAAAAACTAACGTTTGACAACTTATTTAATTGCTCTTAAACATGAACATATCTTGAATGTTGCATTTATTATTTTTCTTTCTTTTTTGTTTTGAGCCGCATGTTGCTGTTTTTCTTATAATTTCCCTAGTATATCTGGTACAGTAGTTGTCATCCCAAGTTGGATCGTAGTAGTGATAATATGATTAATAAGTGGCTGACAATATTTTATTTTTATTAAGTGTAAGCTTTTCAAATGTACATACATACTGTCACGTGTCACATTTCTTGCTTGCTACGCGGGTCACAGATCAGAAGATGATTCGCAGGATGTAAAAAAAGGAGAGCATCAGCGCTAGATAAGAAAAGAAGGGCGACACTTGCAGGGATTACCAAAGATGGCTAGCCGGCATTTTGTTTCTTGATTATTTTATTGTATAATTATTTTTCTATTCTAAAAATGAAGGGTTGTGATTTGTTCAAACTCTTACCTCTTAAGCGGTAATAGTTGTACCATAGCAAGGCCCATCACTAACAAAGACAAATTATTTACCTTTTTCTTAAGATGATGAGACAGATTATACTGTGTGCTGCTAGGTAAGGAGTAAGGATATCAAACCATATAGTTTAAACTTAAAACACTATTTGCAATTGTTGGCGAGAATAAGACACAATACAGAGAAAATGAAATGAAAGGTCTTTCGGTCACACCTCAGATATGCTCCAAGCTATAAATGTTATGTACACAGATGGACTCCTCTGAACCTGCAGTTGCCAAACGTTAACTGAAACTTATCAGCCAGGATTGAACTCTCCAAGGGGTGAAACACAACAACGTTACAGAAACCCTAGCAAATTCAGAATCTTTTATATATGTGCGCAAGAGTAATCCCTCTGATAGCTTTTTAACCCAATCCAAGCCTCACACCTCGGGAATTTGCCGGACAACAGCCAGGACGAAATGGGTCCTCCCACCCCATTGCAAGAAAGAAAGAAGTGGCGCGGTCGGCACCAATCCTGAACCAAAACGGCACCAGTCTAAGTTTCTTCTCATATCACAACATCAATCACGAAGGAGGTCAACAGTTCATCTCACCGATGGCAGCGTGGACCGTTTCAAGGATCGCACATGTCTGCAGGAAACCTTGGGAACAACAACAAAAGGAAAACAATTGAGAATTTCAGATGAGACTGGAGAGAACGGAGACGAAAGGTGGGGACAGGGGAGGCGGGCGGGTCCGAGGGTGGGTGGGTACAGATGAGGTCTCCGGCGACCGCGTACGCGGAGTGGACAGGGAATGGAGGGGCGAGGCAGGGCAGGAGGCGGAGGAGGGCGATGAGCCTGAATTCAGGAGATATATATATAAAAAAAAAAGAGCATTAGTAGTGGAAGCAACGGCCGCCGGCCGAACGCCTCTGGTTGCTGGTGGTGGATACCGTACCATCCGAGCGATTGGAGGGAGTTGTAGCAGACGAGGTAGAGCTTCGAAGGGCGAGCCATGGCTGCGCCGGCCGCCTGTGTGGCTGTGGTTTCGACACCGCCGAGGCAGACGTGACTCTGTTTCGCGCTCCAGGCCGGTCTACTCCGTTATTTTGGAGCAGTAGACCGCACGGATTTATTTTGTGTATAATATCCGCTAGATACGTGCAGAATGCTGATTCAACATTATCTATGTCAGATGTCATTATATCTATTTAAAACACAATCTCATTGATGCGAAGGTTTCAATCACATCTGTATTCCCATATAAAAGCTCCGATTGTATAATGGGGTGTGTTCAAATTCTTTCCAGAAAAAGGTATAAACTCCACTTAGAACATGAATCAGATGGAAGGTGAATCGTTTTCACTGTGTGTTGTCGGTTGTCACTGTTCAAGCAACATTTGAGAAGCATTGTTTTTGAACTTCTGTCATCAAGACTCCTTTTTTTTTTTTGCAACAACATCAAGACTCCTGAGAAGATAACCGAGGAGGCCACCCTGTGGATGGTGCCCGGTAACCAACAGATTGCGTCGTTGGATATGTTGCTATAACTTTGCCATAGGCTGACTAATCCTAGCTAGCAAAACTTGGTCATATAATACTTTCAAATTATAGTAATATCATTTGGTAGCAATCTATTTGCATAATCATGGAAAAGAGTATATTGGAATGAGCTCACCTAGAGATTTAATTATCGTGCTCGAGCTTTACTATGTCTCACATAGAAACTTGAGTGTTATTTGTATCTAAAAGAGTGATATCTTCATCATCTTCTTAGCTTCCTGTGCATATGTAGAACATCGAAAACGAAGTCCGTACACGACCAGGGAGATGATTTTAGTGTAGGCTGCTCCTGGAGTCTGAGATGGACTTGAAATTGGATTGGGTCTTCAACTTGGATTGGTCGCCTATGTTGCTATTCTCCTCCTCCAAGTACTTCCTTTATCTCTCTAAAGTTGCTTAGAATAATAATATCATTAGATAGAAATCTATTACCATAATTACAAAAATAAGTACTTAGGAATGAACTCACCGAGCAATTAAATTTCTATGCTCGAACTCTAGTAATTGGCCCTTCTTGATAAGTGATGTGTGTATGCAAAGGATTGATGTCCTCGTTACAACCCTTTCTCATTGTTCAATCAAATCCCATCCAAAGAAGTGCACAAGGAAACAGCCACCAGGTGATCATTTTTCCTATTTTCCAACATCACCGTACCCTCTTGGTATAAGTGACTTTACCCTTTGTGCCACCCAATATCCCCTGACCAAACCATGCTTTCATTATCCTAAACTCTAAAACAGTACCAATCCCATAAACACCCCTTTATGTTCTTATCTTTCCTACTCCTAGGGGATGTTTGGTTGCTATCCTGGCTACCTTGTTTTTAACCAAAAACACCATTTGACTGAACCAAGCCTCGAAAACCGCGTGTTTGGTTGCAAAGTGTTTAAAAAATTAGGACTAATAATAAATATACATAGGTACTTAAAAAAATCCATCATACAAGTGGTCCTGTCCCTCTATTTGTGATATTTTTTGGCCAATCTTTATTTTTTTTCACTTGTTTGTGAACTTATGGAGGTTAGAATGACATAGACATATGGACATGCACAACTTAATTGTAGACATTTTATTATGTGCAACAATGTTATCAACCACAACACTATAAGTAAGCCATTTAAAAGGTAGCATACTACCACAACGTTGTAGTAGGTGGCACACAATATATACTCATCAATCTATATTATTTGTTTGTAATCATAGTGTCGGGTTCATAAACTCGGGGTCTCTCGTGGACCGGCTTCCCAACAAAGGCTCGGCCCAAGCAGACAATGCGTAACTCATGGGCCGGCCCAGGTATCTAAACAACAGGCCAGAAGGGCAATCCAATCACGGACCGGAAGGTCTGGCCGAGGAGGAGCGGCGCCCGTTTTTCGACTCCGGCCCACCTCTCCGGTCGGAGGGCTCACTTCGGTTTCCAGCCCGCCTCCGGACGACCTCTCCGACCGAAAGGCCTGGCCAAAGCACTACTTCCTGACTCCGACCCCACGTCTCCGACCGAGGTACGCAAAAACCCTACTCACTGCTCTTCTCCGACTGGCGCAATCAGAGCCGACTGGGACCAACCGACCGGGGACGCCAGCTCGGAAAGGACCAGGGAACGAACGGAGAAAGCAAGGCAAGGCGCACAAGTCAAACCACGATACCAGGGACCGTACCCTGTACACCTGCAGAAACAGTACTCTGCAACCTCCCTGACACAAACAGTGTTGTAGGCGCCGACATTGTCCCTACAGTATTGTGGGCGCCATTAACTCTCATACGGTAAGGCTTCCCTCACATGTCTCTGGGCATCGACAGTGTTGTGGGCGCCGACATTTACCGTACCGAGTGAACATGGTGAAACTCCTCACATGTCTCTGGGCATCAACAGTATAGCAGGTACCGACATCTGCCATACCCGAACAAAATGACACAACCTCCCACGTGAATCCGACATCCAACAGTGTTGTGGGCGCCTACCATCATCCTGTACCTGCCGGCGTGGGCAACAAGGCTTAGAAACATACGTACTCTCTTTCTCTCACTTATAAGGCCATCCCCTTCATCTATAAAAGGGAATGCGCTCTCCCCCAACATTCAAGTAATTCCAGATTCATTAGATCGATAAAGTTCACTAGTTCACAACCACAGAACCGTCAGGTTCGAACTTCAAGCACACGCTTGAACACTTAGCTCATAGCGGAGCTCCTGTCGCTCTTGGCTCTTCCGACCGGACCTCTTGTACTCCCCATCTTTCTCCTTCTCGTTTGTAACTCCACTGCAAACTTCGAGCACCTGGGCTCAGGAATAAAGTCATCGACCGACTCAAACTAGACGTAGGGCACGTTGCCTGAACCAGTATAAACTCTGTGTCATTGAGTGCTAGTCCACCTCCGATCACAATGTACGGCAAAACTATAAATATTTACTTGTTGGTCACTTCCTGCACCGACACATAGTGTAGCATAAAGCAAAGGCGAATATCTTGCACAAACTGTTCCTACGAAGATCATAGCGCACATCTCATGTTGATTTTCAAATGATTTTTTCTTTAGAGTTCACAACAATTCAAGACTAAAATGATACACCACATGCTACCATCGCATAAACTAATTTAGAGATATCAAATTCAATTTGGATGTGAAGGCAAAATGACATGCCATCTGTTATACGTAAGCTAGCTTAGAGATATCCAAATTAGTGTGGATCAAAATATAAATAAGTAACACACCGCAAGTCGTAGCTCAGAGATATGGTGTCATCCTAAGTCAATAACATGTCATAGATGTATCCGGTGAAAAGGAAAGACTCACGCTCAAACAAAATGGCTACTAGATGTATGCATACAGTAGGTGCCCTACCCTATGCTGCGGGCTAGAGAAGCGGTTTGGCTCTAAATCATGCATGTCAGACAGATCTGAGCCGATCTTCACTAAATAAATCTTGTGCGTGGCATGACTGTCTCATGTTCCACGCAGACACAGTCACGCAGGGTGCACACTGCACAGGAACACGAAGCGGGGCTTCGGAGTTTCCTTGCATGCTCTGCACAGCGCTTTCGTAGCTGCACACCACGGCCAACACCCAACCCGTTCAGAAAAACACTTTATTTTCGGGGGCACAACATCTCAGACCTCCAGTCTTCGAGTCCTCGTTGTGCCTTTCTTGATCTCCTCGCGTCCATGGCTCCTGTGCGAGGTGCCAGGAAGAGGAAGCGGCCGGAGAAGCCCGCCCCGGCGCCGGCTCCAGGGTTGCCGCTGCCGCCGCTGCCGGATGGTAGCGATTGGTGGAGCGTCTTCTATCGAAGGGTTGCAGGTCGCCTCTCCTCTCCCTACCCTCCTTCCTTGCCTGCATCGCTGTGCTCTGTAGAGTTTAACCATGTGCGCTTCCTTGCTCCTTTCGTCGCTGTAAGCTTGATCGCCGTGGCATCGTAGGAAAGTATCTAGTTCTTGGTAATGCATGTGTGTGCCCCCAGAGATTGACATAGTCCGTGGGTGGATCTGGAGGGAGTTCGAATTGCAGTTTGTGGGAGTCGATGTGTAGCTTAATCGGTTGATTGCTCTAGATGGGCATTGAAGATGCCGGTGCGTAGGGGCTTGATGCATTGGAATGGTGTGTTATGGATTGAGAGCTTCAGACCGTGGCAGCTCCCGCGATTGCTCGTGGCTTCTGTAGCATCCTTTGAGTAGAGGATTATTTTGGGAATTCAGCGTTTGGTTTCCATTTCTTCTTGTTTACCCATGTTTGTTCCGGAATCCAGATCTGTAAACCTGCAGAAATCGCACTTTGAGCAGACGATGAATCTAGGCACCATCGGTTTTTGCTCACTTTTGTTGATTCAATTCAATCCAGAACCAGCTACGAGGAAGCTGATTCTCAATGCAGCGATCGATGATCTACACAAAAGTATCTTAAAATTTTCCTTACAGAATGGAGTTTTTGGTATCTTAAGCTAAAAGGGAAAGTAAAGTAGTGAACACAAAAGGAAAAGAAAGAATAATACCATCCAGAACCTATTATTTTTTTAAAGTTTCTTTGATGGATTGCTGACTGAACCTCCAGGCTATGATTTTGCTGTTTGAAGCTATATCACAATTTCTGCGATGTTTTTGAAAATATTGTAGACATTTTGTTGTGATTAGGTTCCCCTTATTAGACATCGGCCTCTACACACTGAAATCTTGGGAACTGAAGGCTAGTTATAAACAAATAGTGGTGTAATTGCAACTAATTACTAGATATATGCCCGTGCGTTGCACCGGGATTATATATTTTTTGGACTGAACCTCATCACTCGGATGCAGACGCGTGAGCTCCGAGGATTTCGTATTAGACGCGGACGCGTGAGCTCCGAGTGGAGGATGATTCATATCGGACGTGGATACATGAGAAGGAGCGAGATTTGGTATCACTGGGTAGATGATTACTTTAGAGTCTTTTTAGGTGTAGAGATTCATTACTATTTATTGAATTGTTGCTAAACCTTGGGTATGCTTTTGGAATCTAAATTAGGAGTTGATTAATGTGGTTCATACAAGCACTAAGAGCTCGAATTGTACTTGTGGAACTTGCTGATGCTTGATAAGTTACATCATATATTGAAACTTCAGTGCTTGGTGAATTGTCAGTGTTATGTTTGACAGATGAGCTTAAAGGAACAATGGCCATGCAGTTCGATAGTTTTCATGATCCTTTTGCTCTATTCATTGTGGGATCTCCTCACAGTGTTTAGTGTGACTACTCAAGTTCAGAGGTCAATTGTGGCAACCACAAGAAATATTTCTGTAAAAATGTCCTTTGTTTCTGTAGAAATTTTTTGGATGCCATAGTTCTATACATGTCAGGTATCCTGACTGCTAAACTGATACTAACCAGTAAGAGCTGGGAATGCCTGGTACACCCTGCATCATTCAGGTGTATTTTAAAAGATATGCCAAGCATTAGAAGTCATTCAGATTTTAAAATCAAATGGACTCATCAACTTCTAGAAATATGAGCCTGAAACTCTTGAGTTCATTTTTTTAATGAATACTTTAAGGGTTAAAGGTGAAACTATATCCTTGAGTTTGTATTCCAAGATGTGCATATCTCTTGCACGTTCTTGGGGAATATTGTAAAAATGATATTGTAATCTTCATAATTCATGCACATATCTTGATATGCATGTTATAATCGAACAATTTATCTGCCTTGAACGTTGATTTTGTAGTAGAATGCTGCATACATATCTATTATACTGTTCTTAAAATTGTTATGTTTTACGATTGCATAACAGTCAGTATCATTAGTGTTTCACTCTAGTTTGAAAACATGTGCCTAGCGTTTCCTGTTAAATAATCTTGTTTCTCAAAATTTAAATTATTTGCCTTCCGTAGTAGCCTTCATGTTCCTGATGCGCAAGAGATGTAATATTTCACTAGTAACAATACTACGCCATTTCTCTTTTCACAGGACATTCCCCTTTTCCAAGAGAACACCAGAATATGGAGTCTGTCCTCAAGATGTCAAGAAAGACGTTCGACTACGTCTGCTCACTTGTTAAGAAGGACCTGACAACAAAGACATACGGTTTCAGAAACTTCAGGTTTGGTGACAAGACAATCCTAGGGGTGGAGGATCAGGTGGCGGTGGCTCTGATGAGGCTGACAACTGGTGAGTCACTGCAGAACATAGGAATGTGGTTTGGCATGAATCACTCAGCCATCTCGAACATCACATGGCGGTTCATTGAGTCCGTGGAGGAGCGTGCCATCTGTCACCTGAAATGGCCGAGCCCTGAGGAGATGGCAACAATCAAGGCAAGATTTGGCAAGATTTACGGGCTCCCTAACTGCTGCGGTGCCATTGACACCACACACATCCTCATGTGTTCCTCAGCTCAGCCCAACAGCAAGGTCTGGCTGGACAATGAGAACAAAAACAGTATGGTGCTGCAGGCTGTTGTGGATGCAGACATGCGGTTCAGAGACATCGTCAGTGGCTGGCCTGGGAGCATGGACGACTCATGCATCCTTCGCACTTCAGGCCTGTACAGGTTGTGTGAGAAAGGCCTTAGGCTTGAGGGGCAGATGGAGCTTCCTGGAGGTTCCGCGGTTAGGGAGTACATAGTCGGAGATGCAAGCTACCCTCTACTTCCCTGGCTTATGACCCCGTACCGGGGACATGGTCTCCCGGCGGCCAAGGCAGAATTCAACAAGCGGCACACAGCGGCAACGGCGGTGGTGCAGACAGCATTGGCGACACTCAAGGGGAGGTGGCGTGTCATCCAGGGAGAGCTGTGGAGGCCTGACAAACACCGGCTGCCAAGGATCATCTTCGTCTGCTGCTTGATAACCAACATCATCATCGACATGGAAGGGACTCCAAGCAAAGACAAGCTGTTTTCAGGCAACCATGACCATGGCTACAAGCAGCAGTTCAGTAACGTCGCAGATGACAATGCAGTCATGCAGAGAGACGACCTGTCTCAGCATGTCACCGCCGGCGAGTAAACACTCACCGTCAGCTTCCTGGTTCCCTTGTGCTTTTTGCACCCATTAATATAGAACATGGATACAGAATTGTAAGTTGAGTTTTGGCAGATTACAATAATGTTTGGTTTCAGCGAGACATTATTACCATCTTGAAGAAAGTGTAGCCCTAATTCGTTAAGGTAGGCCATGCCAAGTTATCTTCATAAGCATGCTATTTTACCGTTTCCAACAGGAAGAGGTTAAACTAAACGACCAATAACTGAACCAGTCAAAATTAGAATCATGTTACACAACTTTGAAGGCTTACAAAACGAACATGAGAATTTTGGAAACACCATGCCATTCCACACATTCATAGATTTCAGACATTTTTCTTTCTCCATCGCTAACAAAAAGAATGTGTTATCCAGACACAATAATAGATACCCATTGTCACCCCAAAATATAAAGCACAGCATCACATGAGAAGAGACTTCGCCAAATGCTCTCTTGCTTGCGTTAGGGCATTGACTAGAGTCTGCACGCAAATAACGAAAGCTAGTAAGTTAAAAGACACCAGTTTCTTCAGTTCAAAATTGAAGTAGATGCAGCCTGCCTACCTGCTCAGCTGATGAAGCACCCTCCAATCCATGACCAGACACCTTTTCAGCTATCTCTCTTCCTTCTGTTTCAAGTACAATCCTGTGTAATCATTCAAAAAAAATTAGGTGTAATGCAGCAAATAATTACATGTTGCTTACAATGTTCGATGTTATTAAACTCTATAAGCTTGACAAAGAATCATCCTATCACTCTCACATTTCAGAGTTCAGCAAGGTTGTGGTAGCTGCAGTCATTCAAGATCTCAAACTTAAAATCAAATATATACAAATCCTCATGTAGATAATCAGTGTTGTTCCATTTCGAAAATATCAATGGAATAGGATGTTTGTTTTGTTAATGTCTTTAGCAGAATAAGCCATTGTTTCACATATAAAATTGTGTAACCCCATTAAAAGGTAAGGCATGCTTGGGCTTGGGGTACAGAAGCAGAACACCAGACAAAAGCTTAGAATCCAGTGATACAACCATTACAAAATAGAGGCCCTAATAGAACTCTATTGCCATGGCCCCACTCCAAAAATCAAACATGCGGCAGATGACAGTCAGGTGATTTCAGAGCAAAGGAAGGATAATAAATGTACACAATAAAGGGAACAAGAAAAGAAGCCTTAATATCATGTATGTAGTAAGACAAGGCTTTACCCTCCATCAACAATTTCATCAAGACACAATAGGATCAGGTCCAAATTCTCGAGTGCTGTCCTTTTGTCAACCATGTTTCTGAAACCACCAAGATTGGAAACACATTCATATACGATCAGCATTAACACAATAACATGTAACAGAACAAACAGCGGTTGAAAAGATAAACTTTAATTGAGGGAAAATAACTTGAGAAGTCGTTCGACAGCATCAGAGAATCCCTGAAGAACTGATGCTAAAATAAGCTCATTCTCCTCTTCTCCTCCAGTAACAAAAAAGTGCAGGTCTTGGATGAACTTGTATACGACAATTTGACCATCAAACATTACAATCTCAGCTGTTAAAGAGAAACAAATAAAAATATGAAATACTTGAAGAAAAGAAAAAAATAACTCAAACAGTCACATCTGCATGTTTAAGGAGAAATTAAGGTCAGTCAGATGTAAAATTAGCCCAGGCTCAATTACTGATTTGTGGTGTGAGTGGGAGCTAGTACAAACAGTGCTGTGACCAAGGTTAAAAGAGGATACAAGGGAGGACATGAAAAATATATACTCTCCGTTCCGAATTGTAAGACATTTTGGCTTTTCTAGATACATTGTTTTTACTATGTATTTATACATAGTGTATATCTAAGTACATAGCAAAAGCTATATGTCTAGAAAAGCAAAAACATCTTACAATTTGGAATGGATGGAGTAGAGGAGTAGATGATTTGTAAATTTGTATATAATCCTTGTCAAATAAGCAATGAATAAAATGGCATAGGCAGCATAACTTAACATGTTGCACAGCAAAAGAATCAAAACAAGAATGGTGTATTTTAACATCAAGAAGTGGTTCTACCCCTATACAAAAAGTCATATTCCATGGAAGCACTCTTGCCCAGCATCAGCATATATAGAATGGATTATAACAATACATCACGCTCATGAGTTCATGTTATGAGATGATACTGCTAATCACTACTGCTGCTAATCAAGTACTCTGGACTACCTCAAGCGAGCACAACAACGCTGACCAAGGATCACCATCGATGGAAAACAACCCCTTCCGTATAAGCGAAATCAGATGTAAATTACCTTCCGTTCCAGCATTCGCTTTCTGGGTTTTCGCAAAGACCGACTTCTCGAAGGCCAGCTTCGCGGAGAGAGTAGGCCAGTCATCGCTGTAGTACTTCACGGCGACGCGCTTCCCCTCGGAGTCCAGCAAGAGGATGTTCTTCACCGACGGGCAGGTCTCCTGAAGCAAACAAAGGTTCAACCCTTTAAACAAATCGAGGCCACCACCATTCGCAGATCCCATAGCGCTTGCAGCAAAGAGAAAAAGGGACAGCCGGATCTGGGGACACGGGCGAGGAGAGAACGACGTGGCCCGCCACAAAAGGCTGGATCTCGGAGCGATGGATCGGGGCAGATCAAGAGACCGGCAGCAGCGCCGCCCGTGCGGTAGAGCGAGAAGGAACGGGGGAGGACGAAGGCGGGAGACGGGACCACCTACCATCGCAGCGGGAGGAGGAAGGATTCGCGGCGGGGAGCGGAGGACGGTGGTCGGGACTCGGGACAGCCGGCAGTAGCGCTGCGCGAGATGGGGAAGACGGCGTGTGGACGATTGAGGTTGAAGAAACGGAAGGGAAGCCAGTAGCGGTAGGTTGTGTGCCGTCTGCCGTGCCACGGTGGCACGTGGCGGTAGCCCAGTCTACGTTGGGCTTGCAGGTCCGGCCCAAACTGTCTCTACTGGTGTCTTCCATGCTAGGCCGACGTGCAGCTTCGGCCTTATTTCGACGATTCCATGTCTGGATTTCATGGCTCAATTTCACTTGGAAGTGTTTCGGGCCAGACTAGCGCTCGGACGCTTCCCTTCGCCTGTGTTCGCACCGCTCCATTCTATTCCACTGCCCACGTTGTCAGAATGACTTGGCTCCGTCTCTTTCACACCGACGTCTTGCCCACCTCTTCCACACCGCTTCGTGCCCACCGCTTCCACGCCGCTCGGATGACTCCCCGCCTCTTCCATATCGGCGCCGCGCGACCTACGCCTCCTCCCCACATCGACACCGCCATGGCTCCCGCACTAACTCTCTCTTCCTCGCTCAACAACCCTACATCTAGATCTACTTTTACAACACTCATATTAAACAATTGCAACATACGTCTGAAACAGATGAAACATTAGGAACATACATTTGCAACATAGCCATTGCAACATATGCAACATCCAAATGAAACACTTGCAACATGCGTCTAAAAACAAATGAAACATTTTTTTGAACAAACTCTTGCAACGTACGTATATAACCATTACAATATGTGCAACATCCAAAAAACTACTATTGCAACATCCATCTGAAACGTTTGAAACACAACTCTGAAACATCTGAAACAGTTGAAACATACGTTTTGCAACATAGGGAAGGCTGGTGCTGGTCGATTCTAGGCGTCGGGTGGAAGCCGGTGGCACATGAGCACCACCAGCACCAGCACCAGCGGCACGTGCGAGCACCACCATCATCAGTACCACTAGCACCGGTCTTGGCTCAGCCGAGCAGGCGGCGCAACGGGTGGGAGCAGGCTACGTGCGCGATGGGAGGGAGCAAGCGAGGCGGTGGGGCGGGGTGCGCGCGGCGCATGTGAGCGGCGCGGGTGGGTCGGTCCCTAGACAGGACGCCCACGGCGTATCATTATTGTTTCTACAGTGGAGGGGTACCTCCTTGTGCTAGAAGCCCGGTCAAATAACAAACCATTTTTAGCCACTCTAGGCTTGTAGGTCCCTCTTATTGCCAGTACACATGCTCCCATAGAAACGATCATCCTTGCATTGCACCTCTTTTACTGTGATAAAAAAAAGTCTGACAACGAGGGGTTCAGTATTACAATGCAGTTGAGGCGTAAAGAACCGGCAGTGACGTATCAGTATCACCTGATGATGCAGTGAATTGTGTACAGCATAAGGCCGTCTTTGGCACGGCTCCCATCCGACAGGCTCCGGCTCCTCTCCTGTGCGGAACTGTGCTGCTCTGTATACAACTCTACAGGGGCTCCGGCCCCTTTCAGTCATCAGAGAGAGAGCCGGAGAAGCCACACTTGAGAGGCTCTTGCGGCTCTGCCCTGCCATAGTGCTACTATAGTGCCTCCGGCCGTCTTTGGATTTGCAGGTTCGGCCCAAGCTGCCTCTCGTGAAAAAAATGGGTTAGGGCCCTGTTTCGACGATTCCGACCATGACCATCTGACAGAGTGAGTGACTGACTGTTGCTCAAAAAAAAAATATGACAGAGTGACAGGAGCGAGCGTCATCGCTCAGATGTCTGAAGTCGTCGGGTGAGGAAAAGCGTCGAACAGCTGCTGGTTGACCGGCCGCGCTTTCCCGCAGCTTACGTGGCTTTGTGGTTGCTGCCTGAGACGGATCTCGTTCGCACGGCGCGCCGCCGCCTGAACGTGGCATCCAGCGATGAGCCGGTGCCGCGCAGCTTCAGTTCACCCCAGTTCAGAACTGAAAGCCACGCTCGACGACTTGTGTAGATGCCCCTGGCTTTCCGCGTCTGTCTGTCTCGCTGCGTCACGGCCGATTTCCCAAACGTGCAGCTCGTTCAGGCTGCTCTCGCTGATACGGGGTATGCTCCTACATGTGCCGTACAGGATGCTAGCCCGTACTACGTACATAAGGGGTTGGTGTGACTGGAACCTGGTCAGAACCAACCTGACCTGTGGTTCATTTCCGGGTCTTTGATGCGCTGTCGTGGTGTCTAATCTGCACGATTGTATACACGACTATACAGTTCAAATCAAAGTAATGCCTATTTCATTTGCTCGCCACCCTCTCAGGTAGTCAGGTCCGATCGAATGAACAAATTTCACGGTGGTTGGTGGACTTTGTGTTATACTACAAAAGTAGTGGAGCATCAACTGTCAAGCAACGTTCCCTGCAAATTGGTCAAAGAGACCGGGGGGCTTAACCGCACCAACCCGATTCAGGCGATCGATCGAGAACCGCTGACTAGGCCATTGAACCTGAACCACCAGTTCATGTACCTGTTCCTGACGCTTGCTGAATGCTGAATCTGTGTTCTGACTTCCGAGACATGGAATTCAGGTCAGGGTCCAGCTAACGTGCCAGTAAGCCACTGCCACTCCGGCAGTCCAGTTTGAGCCACCAACCCAGGTGTGAAACGCCGAACCACCGGACGCGAGCTGCTCCCGGCGCGGATGCGGGACCTGGGCGATCCAACGGCGGCCGACGACGCTCGCACGCCAGCTCGCATTCATTAATTAAGGCAGCTCGGTGGTGCTTTGCGCTCCTCTACGTGTGCGTTTCTTACTGAGCCCAATTTAAGCCCTTCAAACGGCAGCGTGGAAAAGGCATACCGACATCTAGATACTTTTTACACTCTCGAGTCAATTCCCAGTACTAATACTCAAGTAAAGCTACCCGCACGTCGCGCTATATATAGTGGCCAACGTCGCATGGCTCTCATCGGACAGCATCGCATTCGCGTTGCACTTGCACCATTGGGTAGCTCGGAGCAGCGAGCTAGCTAGCTAGCAGAGCGTGCAGCCGTGCACCTGACCGGCGTCAGGGCGGCGAGGAGATGGAGACCGGCGTGGGCGTGGACGCGGCCAGCGTCCTCATGCTGCTCTCGCGGCGGCAACAACAAGGGGGCGCGAGGACGGCGGGGCTCGTCGCGCGTGGGCGCGGGCGCGTGTTCGAGTGCAAGACGTGCGGCAGGAGGTTCCCGACGTTCCAGGCGTTGGGCGGGCACCGCGCCAGCCACAGGTGGCCCAAGGCCCTACACCTACCCCTACGGCGGCGAACCGGGGCTACGCCAGGCGAGGCTGCAGGATGAACCGCACGAGGGCGAGTGCGCCCCGGCGGGGTCGTCGAGGCTGCACGGCTGCCCCGTCTGCGGCCTCGAGTTCGCGGTCGGCCAGGCGCTGGGCGGGCACATGCGTCGGCACCGGACTGCGGCAGCCGACTCCTGCTCTGGGGACGCCACGTCGGTTGAGGAAGCCGACGTCGGCGCTGGCTGCTGTGCCAGTGGAATCTGTTTGGACTTGAGCCTGGCGCCGTCGGAGAACTGCGCCAAATGCCGGAATAACACTGTGCCTGGCAACACGGTGCAAGGCGTGCGCAAATCGCTGATATTGGATTGCCCTCTTTGAGAAGAGGCCTTGTAGTACAACTGTATACGTTTTATTAGAATTTTTTTCCAAACATTACGCATCGGGCTTATTTCCAATTACGTTTCCTTTTCTTAAAAAAATCGAATATTCAGACTTTCTGTGGATACAGACGTTCCAGGTATAAAAGACACCTGATAGAACGGCAACAGAAAAAAACACACAACAATTCACACCAGAGCGACACGTTATTCCATGCATTGATCGATAAGATGCAAACCCAACGACATGGATTTCATTCATTACACACTGTAGGGAGGGGAGAGGTTTTTCCAACGGATCCAAATCCAGAGTGCAATAGCCCCCAGCAATAGCAATAGCTACGTCAACAGCAAGAGGTGGTTGCTTCGAAGAATGGAAGCAAACACGAGTACAACCACATCAGTATATCATAAGTGGCTTCTTCAAATTCTTCCTATAACAGCCAAGCGGGAAATAAATAATGTCAAATAACCAATGATTATGGCCATTGTGTATCTGCTTATGAGCCACAGCAGGCAGATCGCTGGGCAGCTGGTGCCTCAGAACCCTGGTCTGGCTTGTTAATTTTGATTGCCTTGTCCTACAGTGCAAAGGATATATCGCTCAGAACACTGAACACGATGAATGGTGGAATGTCAAGCATAACTAGGCACAGTTATTTGTACCTCTGGCTTTGAATCAGTCTCCGCAAGCCTCTGCTTGATGTCACGTGCGATGGAGAAAAACACTTGCTCCACATTCAGGTTTGTCTTGGCACTCTGAAAGATACAGAAATCTGTGAGAGTAAAACAACTGCAAACTGTTTTTTTATTAAAAAAAAAAGTTCACTAAAGGTGTCATGCAAGTCTGGCAAGCAACATACTGTTTCAAAAAACTTGATCCCGTACTCATCAGCAAGTGCTTGTCCTTTTGCAGTAGGTACAGCCTGAAGCAATAGTAGCAGTAAGATTTATTATTTAGCTAATTGAAGGAAAAGAATTAAGCATCTAACTACTTATTTCAAACAAGAAATACAGAGTGAAAACAGTCAAACATTCAAGGAAACAATGAGTTCAGGCATGTACCCTCTTGCTTTCGTCCATATCGGCCTTGTTGCCAACCAAAATTTTGTTGACATTATCAGAGGCATGCTGTTCAATGTTCCGAATCCAGTTTCGGATGTCTGTATTTTAGATGAACCAATTGCGAATAAATGGTAAAATAGTTTAAAATGGAAGCATTAAGGAATTGGAATATATGGTTAAGAAGAGTTTACTGTTGAAAGAAGATTCATCAGTGACATCATAAACCAGCAAGATGCCCATAGCTCCTCGGTAGTACGCTGAGGTAAAATAAAGCCCATTGGAT